ACCGATTCGTTCAAAATGCTGAATCATTCAGTAATGAGAACGCGTTGCTGTGAGATGCTCGATGGTTCTGCTGTGATCTTTGTTTAACTATTTTCGCTGCTGAAACAGAAAAAAAAGTCAATATTGCATCTAAAATGTAGGTGATTTGACGTGTGTGTGTGTGTGTGTGTGTGTGTGTGTGTGTGTGTGTGTGTGTGTGTGTGTGTGTGTGTGTGTGTGTGTGTGTGTGTGTGTGTGTGTGATTGTGTCTGTTACAGTGATTGTTTAACCCTTGTTAAAGTTTAGGCCTTGTCTTTTTGGATATATATCTTTTTATATAAAAAAAAATAGCATACAACCCATGTATTTTAAATGTATTGTTTGCTTTAAATTACATTGAGATTTGTATGTTTGGTAATTGAACCTGAATGAATTATAAATGAATGTGCTATATTTCAGATCATATATTTGTTTTCCTTAAAATTTGAACTAACACTAACTTTATTCTCATCTGAATGATAAGATTATTTATTTCTGTATAAAATAAAAACACATTTGATTTTTCTTTTTTAATCAATGTAGAATGTGTAACTGAAAAAATAAACAGATTAGGGCTCTGATCGAGGACAATAATGTCAAAAAAAGAATCAGGGCATGTCTCATATCTTTCTAAAATGTAATTATACACCATTTATTTTTATATAAAATTATACAAATATTAGAACTAAACCCATTTTATTCCTTTTTTTCAATTTAAGAATTATTTTTAAGTTTAAAAACAGCCAGAATGGTTGTTTAGTCAAAAATAATAATAATCCAAATCATATATAGTGCTATACTGCCCTCTTGTGTTCAAAATCAGGTAGGCCTATTGAATTTATATATTTATATATTAGGGATGTTACTATGGGAATATTTTCCCACCGGTTAATCAACGTGTGATTGTGTAAACCAATTGTGTAAACCTCCCGCTGGGGGGTTTAAAAACACTAACTTGAAAGCGAAAGTATAATATGGACGTCCGCACGGACATTGAAATGGTGGCGCTCGAATGAATTCCTATGGAAGTAGAAATTAACTAAACGTTCGCTCTGTTCTGCTCGCTCGTCGCCATGGACGCGCACCGTTATGAATGCCAGTGCAGCCGCATACTTTTTAGTGTCACTAAAATTAGTGCAATTTCGGGGGCCGATTGCTTGAATTGTGAGTTCAATAGTCTATTATTTTTCACGGAAAACACAACAATAAAAGAGTACAATGACAGATTCGCTTAAATAGGCGTTTTTACATAAAATAGCCTATTCCGTCATCATCTTTTCAGTCAGCTCTTCACTCTCGTGATTAATGAAATTTGACTCCTGTTGCTAATATTTGCTGCAACTTTCGTTCAGCTCACAATTTAGTAAGCAAACACGTTTCAAATGTGTTTTTATTTTATTTTTGTGTATGTGTGTGTATATGTATGTATATATATAAATATAGCTTATGTTTCAAATATGAGTTAATTAACAATCGTTGGAAAGAATGATACTTTTAAACATAACACTAAACCGTCATTAGGTGTCGCCAGGCGACCGTCTTAATGAGCGAGTCATTGATTAATTCGTTTGAACGACTGAGTCATTCATGAATGAGATAGATGTTTATGGATTGATTGGTCATTGAATCTTTGAGTCAACCGATTCGTTCAAAATGCTGAATCATTCAGTAATGAGAACGCGTTGCTGTGAGATGCGCGATGGTTCTGCTGTGATCTTTGTTTAACTATTTTCGCTGCTGAAACAGAAAAAAAGTCAATATTGCATGTAAAATGTAAGTGATTTGACTTGTGTGTGTGTGTGTGTGTGATTGTGTGTGTGATTGTGTCTGTTACAGTGATAAGAGTTTAACCCTTGTTAAACTTTAGGCCTTGTCTTTTTGGATATATATCTTTTTATATTAAAAAATAGTCATACAACCCATATATTTTAAATGTATTGTTTGCTTTAAATTACATTAAGATTGTATGTTTGGTAATTGAACCTGAATGAATTTTAAATGAATGTGCTATATTTCAGATCATATATTTGTTTTCCTTAAAATTTGAACTAACACTAACTTTATTCTCATCTGAATGATAGATTATTTATTTCTGTATAAAATAAAAACACATTTGATTTTTCTTTTTTAATCAATGTAGAATGTGTAACTGAAAAAATAAACAGATTAGGGCTCTGTTTGATGACAAGAAATGAAAACCAATGCGATATGATGAATGTCCAAAAGATGGCTCCCACAGACTGTTTTTAAATAGGATTGTTTGATATTTTTTGCTTTTAAACTGTGTGTGTGTGTAAGAGATTTTGGTTGGGTGACAGTTGTAGTTTACAGTTTGACAAGAGTTTATAGCTTGACAAAAGCACAATGTTGTGTTTTATTGCAAGTGTACACAAATATAAGTAAACACTTTGCAGTTTGAATAATGTCCTGTATGAACAAAAGGACGGAGTATGTTTTTATGTCTACATTGTTCAATTACGCCACACACACACACACACACACAAACACACACACACACACACACACACACACACACACACACACACACACACACACACACACACACACACACACACACACAAACACTATTTTTCTAATCAGATCAGGCAAGTAATATTCTGTCTTGTCTCTTAAAAAAACAATATATATATATTTATGTATATGTATATATATATATATATATATATATATATATATATATGTGTGTGTGTGTGTGTGTGTTTGTGTGTGTATATATATAAATATAGCTGCGAGCAGCGATGAAAGGGCCAAAGCCGGCGGCACCGCCACCCCGGTTATAGTGCCACCAACTGGCAGCAGGAATTCTGTCACTTTCAAAAAGCTTTGAAATCACCTGATTGCTTCAAACTTCACTACTATGATGTAAACACACGGCAGATGTAGACCTGGATGTAGACCTGACCTTTCAGAAGGTTGCTCTCGCATACTTTGTGGTTGATATGTGCCCTCAATGCACACTTTTGCAGAGCCCACACTGATACAAGCTCTACAGCACACTTCTTTTCGACAGTCAAAGCAGGGTTACGTTTTTGCACGTCGTGCACAATAACCCTAAAGGCACCAGGGTGGCGGTGCCACCGGCTTTATATATATATATATATATATATATATATATATAAATATAGCTGCGAGCAGCGATGAAGGGCCAAAGCCGGTGGTACCGCCACCCCGGTGCCTTTAGGTAACTAAAGGCACCGGGGTTGCGGTGCCACCGGCTTGGGCCCGTAATCGCTGCTCGCAGCTATATTTGTTTTTCTTTTCTCACTCTGCCCCAACAAACATCAATAAACCCAACAGTTGAGTTTTTGTTGGATCAGTGGTTTAATTTGAACAAGCCTTAGGTGATTTTAGGTTAATGGCATTTTAATTACAAATTAGAGATGTTTATACTTTGTCTAGTCATAGTACATTAAATGTAAAACAAGTGAGTCATGATGAACAGGTATACGTGATGCTGATTAAAGTGTAGAATTATATGCATGATGATAGTACTTGTCTGAAACATGATTCAAAATGCATTTCTTTCATGATTGGATTTTAAACATTTGCGTGGTTTGCCTCAGCATCATCTTTATCATATACAGCACTAATGATGCCCATATAGCAACCACATTTACATGTTGTTACTTGCTACTTAATTTTCTAAATTCATTTTGGATTGATTGATGATACATAAACCTGATTATTGTGCATTTAAAACAATTTGTTTTATTTCTACTATTAAGTCAAGTCAAATATATTTATATAGCGCTTTTCACAATACAGATTGTATCAAAGCTGCTTCACAGTATCAATCAAAACAACTTAACAGTGTTTGTTTATTACTGGAAAAAGACATCCAAGTTTGGTAGAGCTGATCAGTGGTATGATGGGTCATTTTATTTGACTATCCCCAACTGAGCAAGCCAAAGGCAACACAGAAATATTACTATTACAGAAATATTACTCTTTTTATTAATGTACGACTGACAACTATGCATCACATTAAGTTTATAAGTTTGTTTATGTTAAAACTGTGTAATGCAAATGGATGAAATATGTATATGCAATTCAAATACATACATTTTAAATTAAGGCCTAAATAGTTTTTTGAGTGTATTAAAAAACTTTTCAACTATTTTTATTTAATAAAAGTTGCCTATAATCACATCAGAAGCTTTTCAGAAAAATCTAGTGTTAAGAAAGACCATTTTATTATTTTAAGCAGTGCATTAGCAATCCATTTCGAGTTAAATTACCATGTTTTAAATCATATTTGGCCATAGTTTTATTATTATTATTATTTCCTTTATTTTAACCAGGAGAATCACATTGAGAATCACATCTCTTCTTCCGAGACCTGGTCAAGACGGCAGCACATAAAGTTTCACACACGAGAATCACAAAATAACAGTACCACATTTTACACATTTAAGAACAAAATAGATAGTAGCAAATCAAGAAAAACAATTACAAGTGTCCTTTAAAACATTGTGCAAGAGACGTTTAAAAGTGGTCAGGGTTGGAAGTGCATCTAAATTAAGTACATTTTGAAATTCATTCCAAGCCCAAGGAGCAAAAAAAGAAAAAGCACCTTTACCAGATTCTGACAATACCCAGGGGACTTTTAGCCGAATATGAGAACCAGACCTAGTGTGGTAACTATTTGTGTAATAAATTAAAAGATTTTATATATAAGAGGGTAATTTACCTTAAAGAGCTTTTGCAATAAATAAGTACATATTATGTAGCTTTCTCCTTTGATGTAAAAATGACCAAGCTAAAGAATCATATAAAATACAATGATGCGTCCGTGACTCTGCCCCAGAAACAAAGCGTAAAGCATCATGCGTGATACACAGAGTTTACCTCATACATGGATTCACAGTTGCACTTCCTGAGCATTACTCAACTCCTTCATTGGTTTAATTCAGGACTGCATCTGTATCTTTTAAGCAGTCATTGTGCCAATGAATTACTATTAATAATTATATAAAAATTCATGCTGCATTTCAGATTTTCTTCTGAGCACACAACAGGATGGAGGAACCAGAAGTATCCACAGCAACACGTATGGGTTCAATACGGCACCAACACGAGACAGTGGCCTCTGCTGATGATGAGGACAACGCCTGGGATGTTGATCCGGAATGTTCAATCTGCTTTTCCGCATACGACAACTCCTTCAAGACACCGAAGCTTCTTGAATGTACCCATACCTTCTGTCTGGAATGTCTGGCTCGTTTTGTAGCTATTTCACCGGAGCAGGCAGGGACCCAGATCACCTGCCCCCTTTGTCGGCAGCCAACGTCCGTGCCTGAGCATGGTACTCCGGATCTGGCCACCAGCCAGGAAGTTTTGGGTCAACTTCCAAGCGACCAGCAACAAGTGGAGAAAGTTTTCCTAGATGGAAAGAGGCTGTGCTACTCAAACCCAATGATACCTAACTGTATCTGCATTGACATTGGTGAGCATAAAGCAGAAGAGCCGCCGAGGAGCGAGGAGAGAAGAGAGGGTTGTGGACACAGGTTGCTGCGATTCTTAGGTTTTCATGGGAACTGGAAGAGGCTTGTGGTCTTCATCATAGTGCTCCTCGTGGTCTTCTTTGTTATACTGTGGCCCCTCCAGTGCGTTGTTATCTCAGGCTCAATGTCAGAATGCTTCTTGGAACAACCAGTGATTCCAACTACTCTCGGATCTCCCAGACCTACAGAGGGTTCCTAAGACACGCAGGCGCACACAAGAATTTTGAACAGTTTAAATTTCACGAATTGCAAAAGACATTCAGATGGTGTTGGCTTCAGTCTAAAAACATGACTGACAGGATGATAGCGCTATAGAGGCCAAAACACAAATGTCAATAAAACTGCACTGGTTAAAGTTCTACTTTCTTCATTAAACTGAATATTTGTTGCTTGAAATGTCATTGTCATAATCACAGCTTCCTAAATACCACTGTAAATATTTCAAATTATTTTCTGTCTTTAAAAACAGATGAACAAAATAAACACTGTTATGATTTACACTTATAGGATCCATGATTGCAGGTATGATTGCTTTGCTGCATGGAACCCTTTAGAAGCTCTTGCACATTCTGTAAAATAATAAGTCTGCAATTTCTTTTTATGTTTTTATATGCTCTTATTTGCAAAATTATTGATATTTTTGAAAATTATTCTAAGCATGAGAAGCATTCTCTTTTTTTAACTTGAAATATACAGTAGTAAAGTATGACACTGCCAGTCTTTTATTACCATAGATAAGTTGAGATTGATCATAGAAACTTGTTTTCACAGCATTACTTCCTCTAAACCATAAAAGCAAACGATCTTCCGTCCAGCACATTGGTCAATGCTTTAACCCTTTATTGAATAGCAGCATAAGGTGATCAGTGACAGATTCGTACCATCTCCCCAGAGAAACCCTATTTATACATGTGAAATAGAATGCCCCTCTGAGAATGCGGGACACACATACACACACTTCCATGTGATCAGACACACAGCTCTATTTTTAACAGACCTGGACACAGGGCCCCTCTCTCTCCCACAAGCAAGGGCACTGGAGTTTTGAAGGTATGCCATGCCAGTGTCGGATCAACACTGAAGTGTTTCGAAAGCACAACTAACGACTAAAGGTAGGAAAACATAAAAGGGATGAGATGTTGAAAAGATGTTTAATGGAAACTGACTAGATGCAGAGTTTGCAGATCTAGAACTTTTCTAAGAGGAGGTTTTGTCTTTGGAAATATTTTCCATTGATCTGTGTGTGTGTACTAGTGCTACTGTACTAAAAATGAACCACTTAAGCATGCACAAGATGGAAAAGAACCTCAAGCACAGGGCTTTAGCTATTAATATGCTAATAAAGAACTAAACACCCAGTTCAAGATGATGGCTGTATCTAATAATAATAATAATGATCATTTTTCTAGGCTTTTGCACAACAGTTATGATGCTCCTGGGAAATTATATCTACTTTAAAAATGTAGAAAAAATGGAAAATAAGCACAGCTGAATGCATTTGCTGTATGCTAAATGCATCTCCACGCGTTTGTAAAAAAACGGCCAGCAAGCTAGATTAGTAAGATTTCTTATTAAAGGTTGTAAATCATGATATTCATTCTCGGCATTAAGAGACACATCTAGATGATTTCTGAGCAATTGGAGCATGCAAAATATTTGTAAAAGAGAAGCAACCCAAACAGAACATCATGCTGGGATGTTTTATGGGACTCTTGTGGAGCTATTTCCTGTCACTGACATATTTTAAACCACAAATCACCTTGCAGTGAGTTGTTTTGAATGCTCTGGGTACAGTATGCTCTGGAGTCAGCTTACAGTCAGGCCAAGATCATCCTCACTGGGACATTAGAGACAGTTTGAGCGTATTACAGCGTATTTCTTTGGAACTTGGGTTGCTTGGTGTTTGGGACCTCATCTCTTGAATTTGAATGGTTGAAACTTGTTTCTATGCAATGTTGCCTAAAAGCAATATGTTTTGGTATAATGGCATTTAATTGGAGAATATTTTTTAAGACGCACACATTATTTCAAAGTTCTAAAAAGTTTCAAAGATTTTTATTTTTATTATAGTTTTATTGAGCTGTTCGATATCTTTCAATTCTTAAAAAAAAAATCGGGACTAAAACTAAATCCCCGCATATCATTCGTCTTAACTTTTAACCAACAACCTAAATATTGATTTTCTTTCAATTCAAAGGCATGAAATATGTATACCACATCCTCACTAGTTTTCTCTATGCCAGAAAAAAATAGACAGTTAGAAGAAAAGAAAAAACTGTTGTAAATGTTTGATGCCTAAATTTAACCCTAGCAATGTAAACTCTAGCCTCCAGTTTCACAGACAAGGTTTAAGCTAGTCCGAGACTAAAATGCATGTTTGAGCTGTTTTAACTGAAAGTTAAACTGTTTTGTCTCAAGATGCACACCAGTATTGTTTTTTTCTAAGGCAATGTTACCAATTGAACTAAGGCCTAATCCTGGCTTAATCTAAACCCTGACTGTGATACCAGTTGTTTGGTCAAAAGTTAGCATGAATGAATATTTTATATATATTTTTTAAATTGTATGACTGAATTGAAAGATGCAGTCTATACTGATCAGCTGAATAAAATATACTTCCGTACAGATCAAAAGTTTGGGGTCAGTACGATTTTTTTTTTTTTTTTTTTAAGAAATTCAAATTTTCAAAAGCAAGGGTGCATTAAGTTGATCAAAAGTGACGGCAAAGATGTGCTACAAAAGAGTTCTATCGCACAGGTATCCTGTTCTTATGAGCTTTCAATTAATAAAAGAATGATAAAAAAACAGTTTCATGAGGGAGCACAATGGTTTCCAACTGGTTACTGGAGTAATGGCTGTTGAAAATTCAGCTTTGCCATCACAGGAATAAATTACATTTTAAAATATATTAAAATAGAATAATTTTAGTTTTTTTGTATTTTTGATCAAATAAATGCAGCCTTGGTCTGCATAATTGTTGTTTTTTCTTTGTTTTTTCAGATGTCATAAGCCTTTGGAGCTCAACTGCAATGGATGACTTAGACCACAGTGTGCTGATAGCAGAGCAGGATTGGGACTGTTTCTGTACAGAGAGTGAGGAATGCTCTGTTCAGCAGGCCAAGCTTGCAGCCTTAGATGAGTCCGGCTTCAGTGACATGGACGATGATAAAACCTCCGTTTACGTGTCATCTCTTCCCACTAAGACCAGCTCTCACCAACAATGTGAAAAAGATAGTGTAGACGGACAAAAACAGCATCGAATAGGAGAATGTAAAATAGAACATACATCTGAGAATTCAGAGTTTACTGAATATCCTAGTCCTAAAACAGAGCCACAGAATGCCAGGTCTGCTGAGCAGATGTCCGATGCTAGAGAAAATGAACCGGGGGCTACATGTGAACGTCAAAACAAAGCTAATGAAGACAACAACCTGACTGAGAAGTTAAATTTAGAGATATTAAGAGGAAATTACGAGGATCAAGAGAATGGTGAGAATAAATCAAGCCAAGCCACCACCGAGCCAGTCTCTGAAACGTCTTCAGCAGATATAAAGCGTGAAAAGAGTAAGGATGGTATAGAAATGCTAACTGAGGAGACGGACACTTCACCAGTGGCCAAAAAAGAGAAGGAGCGTTGGTTTGTCACTGTAAATGACAGCCCAGTCCGTCTGAGAGTAAAGGGTCCCACTTCAGTCCAAAAAAAAAGGAGGAAAAAAAAAACTTCTAAAACCCTGAACCAGAATAGCAGAGTGATGGAAAAGTGCTCTTCCTTACATAACAATACAGAGCCAGATAAAGAAATTATTGACAGACAAACAATGCAGGACAAATTTGAACAAGAAAATGTTTTTTCTGACTCACCAAATGTACTTCATATCCAAGATGCAATATGTATTTCGCCCATTAGATCATGTGAGAGTGAATGGGAAAAACCAACCTGTGCCATCAGTTTAAAAAAGGAAAGCATGACAGAAATTCCAGAAGCAAAATTAGAAAGAAATCCTGCCGACTCTCTAAATTCATTTTTAACTCCCAAACAGATGCCACAGAAAATATTTAAAGATCTCATTGGCCCTTTGCCACAATACTGGGATCATGAGAACACAGCATGTGATAAGTTTGACAAATCCACAGTAGATTTAAACTGTGATTGTAGACATACAACTAATAATTTAAGCCACTTTAATAATGACACAAAGGTGGAAAGTCCCAGATTTATTATGGGTGCCTCTGAACCCACTGCTCCATCAGATACTGAAGGAGAAAGAACAGAACAGCAAGAGCCCTTGGGACAATCATTTAATAGAGAAGAATCGTCCCAAGAGATACAATCCTCCAGTAACAGTGCCAAGACATCAGGTCCGACTCGACCTATATTTGCCATTTCCTCCTTTTGGGATGAAATGGAAAAACTAACAATAAATGATATTTTGCAACTTAGAATAGCCAATAACAAGTCTCTACTGACAGAAAGCATTGTTCCAGAGGAAATAACCCATGTGGACACTGTCGACACTCATCTTGATAGGGGTGAGGTGGAATCTAAAGAGGATAGTTTAGAAGATGGCCTTGCAGACGATGCAGCAGATTCTGACTATTTCACACATTTGGATGACTCTAAACCAGACAGATCGAGCTGTGAATTTTCAACTTACTCTGATTTTGATGAAGAGTTTCTACAACTTCTTCACGCAAGTGCAAACCCTAGTCCAGAACCCCTTGAAGGCAAAGAGCAAACCCAAAGGTTTCTTGAACCTACATGCCCCATGGATTTAGAAGAAACTTGGCGAAGTGAATCAAACGAGATCGTAAAGCTGTGTACTAAGAGTGATTCCCCACTGTATTCAGAGTCAGAAGCAGAGATGCAGGACATATTTCTAACAACAAAAGAAGACAACAACATGAGTACCTTTCTACTGGACCACTATAGCATGAGAAGACCAACACCTTCTCCAGTTTTATCGATTTCTGATTTTCTTGACGATCAGTGTCTGCCGTCTTTCTTCGAAATGTTGAAGTGTGACACAGAATCAGAACAACTCAAGGCTTGGATCCCAGATAGAAACACTTCGCTTTGTTTTTCACAGACCGTATCTGTGGCTGAGACTTATGATGACTTCTTCTCAGACTTTGAGGTTGGGAATCTTCTTTTTCCTTCAGTGCAAGGTTCAACAAAAAGTGACAAAACGTTGGTTCCTATCTATTCCTCTTCTCATTCAGTGGTAAAAGACCTAGAATTTCCAGAGGTAGAAAAAGAGTTACAGTTGGATAGTGAAGATGAGATTCCCGCAATCCGGTTTATGAGATGTGCAAGCCCCTCTGAAACATCAAATATGTGCTTTATCACTAGCCAGAGAAGTACCTGGAGAAACCTTTCTCTGAGACACACTAAACTTTTAATGGGAAGGACATGGTGTAGGATGGCCACTTCTTGGGCTTTTCCCAAAACAGCTGACACAGTCTATGGTAATGGGACGAGAACAACATCAAGTTCCTCTATGGCTCAGTCAAAGCTTCCAGTGGTTCTCCTAGAAAACCAGGCCCTTGGAAAATTCACAGAACATCAGATACATGTTGGGGCAACAGTCGCAGACACAGGTACATTTTTAGAGATCAAATTGATGCAATAGATATGAAAATGTCAAGTCTAACTTTGCAAAATTCTGCTTACAGATAGAGATCGCTTTCCTTTTTCATTAAAGCAAGCAGACATGTGCCTTGTTTGCATTGCTTTTGCATCTTGGGTACTGAAGTCAAGCGACCCACAATCTACAGACATGTGGAAAGCAGGTAAGACTGTCATGTGGATTGTGTATTTCTGAAATGAGACACAATGATCAGTCTGTTACATATTAAATTAGGCAATTTATTCAGATAATATGAGCACACAAAATTAACATGATCCTTTTTCCCTCTATTATTTCTCAGCTCTTCTGGCAAATGTGAGCGCGATATCTGCCATCCAGTACTTGCGGCGATACATAAAAGAAGGATGAACCATAAAAATCTAGTATTATTAGAGCTTTCTGAGGATTTCTCACAAGGGGCCAGTGTACAGGAAAGAGTTAATTTTACACAAATTCACACCAAACACTTTAGTAAATACACATATTAGGTTGTATTCCATATTTCCTAACAGTCTAATATTTGAATGTTCAATATATTCATGTTACAAAATAGGTGTTCAATCAATAAATAACTTATCAAAGGACAATTTTGTTAAAGAAAAGGATACAAAGCAAAGGAGGAAACATTAGTTTTTCCCATACAAACAGTTGTTCAGTTAGAAGACATATATTGCTTTAGATATTATGTTGATATGGACCAGAAGTGACAACTGGTAAGTTTTGTGTCAGTTATATTCAGGACTCAAGCTGTGCTATACATATTTATGTAACTCACAATTAAACTATTTTGCAGTGTACATATATATATATATATATATATAAAAACAAACATTTTAAATGATAATCACTCTAGATGTATCTATTAAATGCAAAAACATCATGCGGCCAAGGATTAAAAAAAAGTTCATAGTTTTTCGGTGAAGAAACAGATCTGAACACATTTAATAAAGAGTATAAATTCGCACATAAAATATAGTTGGGAGTCATGGAGGTATCAGAAAGTGCCAGAAGAACGACTGTCAAATATGTGTCAAATATTTCTATCACACAATAGCAGAGACTGATGTCAATGTGATAAGAGCAAGTGTATATGAAACAGCCTCTAAAATATGCTAACAAAAAATATAAATGAATTTAGCACTGAAAGAAAATGTATTGATAAAAATAAAAAAAAGATCTGAGTTGACTATATGTGTTCATATGACATGATAAGGGATGTACTGAAGTGTATGAAAAGTAAAAATTAGCCAAACCGTTTGTAATAATCATGCATTTGTCATCGAAATTACAGTTTTGAAGTTTTAACTATAAGGTAATTGCAACTAGACAACACTGTGCATGTAAAGACAAATATACATCAAGACATGGATACTAAAAATGAGAATATATTTCTCATTAATAACATCCATATACTTTGTAAAATGCTAGTACAAATGTTTAGTGTTAATTCGAAGAAAATAATGACTTTTTGGCAGTTTTAGAAAAAGTTTCACAATAACAGCGTTAACAGATAACACTCATGTCCGCTTGAACACATACAAAACAATGGCACTCTATTTCATGTTTTCTATTGTTATTTGAACAATTAATAGTAGTGCACAACAATACACTTGTATTGCATTAAACGGTCACAATATTACCTTTCTTTCTTTATTGTGTTTATAATGTATTTCATATTATTCTGAGAGTGCTGTGCTCCTTCCCAACCAGTCTGACTATGAAAATGTAACTTACTAAACAGTAGCCCGTTTGTTTCATTGGCCAATTGCACATGCTAGGGCTGAAGCTGATTGTGAGGATACCATTAAATATTCCATATGCATTTTATTGCAAACTATAGACCCTCTATAAATTAACTTCCTGTCCCATGTAGGGATAATCCAGGAACTGACCTGCCCTATCAGATTGTGTCCTTAAGCATGGTGGTACACACTGCAAGCAGGTGTCTGTCAGACACAGCAGTGGGTCTTCTGCAGCATCGTATGAACATGGCAGTGAAGCAACTGTTCTGTAGAGCCGGACAAGCTCTGTTTCCAAACCGGGCAAGATCAACACTACAGTCAACATGCTAATACTCAGGCTGCATTTGGTTTACATAATTAAATCAAATGGTAAAAAGCTAAATTACTGAAAGAATAAGGTATTGTAGAGTTTACTACGGGTGGGTTTTATATTGATGAGTACTCTGAGGTATAGATGAAGAGGCTGTCAGAAAAGGAAGGATAGAGTAAAGCATGCACTTTTTGCACACAGGTCATCTGAAGTTTTTGTATCCAAATCTATCATTGCAACTTTTAAATTCCACCAGTTAATATATTATTTTAAACATATAATATTTACAATCTTAAAATGAATGTTTCAATAAACTTTGAAACTAAATTGTGATAAACTCTGGATTTTGGACAGCACTTCTCAAATACTTAGTAAATCTGCAGTACTGTGCTTTTAGCACAATAACGACATTACATGGGAATTGCATTTCTGACAGAAACAGTTTCTAAATAGTGTTCATGCAAGGAAAGCAAATTCACTGTGCTCCAAAAGGCTAGTTATTTCATACAGCACAAAGGAGTCGGTCAAATGTTTATAAGTGCCAAAACAGGGATAAACCCATGTTGGGTTTTCTGAAACAGAAGGCCTGATACCCTGAACACAGAATCACTTTGTAATCCACAGTGGATTTGTTCATTTCAGGACTGCTTGTCTCCCTCTTTCTTCAGACGGCTGTCAAAGAGACCACAGTATAATTTATAGTCACTTAAAAATCAAAGTAAAAAGGTAATAAAAAAAATCTTCTGTGTACTGTAGGCTGACATTAGTGTCACAAACAGCGCATGCGTTTTTAAAGAAAAATAAATGCCATCAACACAACTTGGCAAAAACTTATTTACACATGCATTCTTGAACAGCTCATTAAAGGGATAGTTCACCCAAAAATGAAAATTCTGGCATTAATTACTCACCCTCATGTCATTCCAAACCTGTAAGACATTCATTCATCTTCGGAACACAAATGAAGATCTTTTTAATTCAATCAGAGCTTTCTCTCCCTCTATTGACAGCCTACGCAACTACCACTTTCAAGCCCCAGAAAGGTAGTAAAGACATCATTAAAGTATTTAATGTGTCTCAAGTGGTTTAACCTCAATTTTATGAAGCGACACAAGTGCATTGTTCGTGCAAAAAAACTATTTACCACTTTATTTACAAAATATTAATCTCCGAATGTGCGTTCACGCAACAACATTTGCTTTCTAGTCAACACAACACAACATGCAACACGTGGTGCTCTCATCAATCCGCTTCAGGCTTTAATATTTTGTAAATAAAGTAGCGAATTAAGTTTTTTGCACAACCAAAGCACACGTGGTGTCGCTTTATAAAATTGAGGTTAAACCACTGGAGTCACATGGATTACTTTTACGATGTCTTTGAGCAATTAATGAGAGAATTTTCATTTTTGTGTGAGCTAACACTTTAAGGTTTCTGTGATTCACCTGTAGTAGTCTTCTTGGCTGGGGAGAGGAGCACTATGTAAATGTGCATGTCCATGTAGCCACTGCTGCTCCAGGGCCAGCCTCTGCAGCTCTGCTGACTGTGCCTGCATCGCCTGCAACTGATGCGCAGCAGACATCGGAGCCAAGGGTCCTGGTAACTCTCTGAATGGTGCTCCTTTGAAAGAAAGACACAAAACATGGTATTATGAAGCAACAATAGGTTGACAAACATTATTAAATTACATGTGCATTTTAGCCATTTTTCTTTGTTCATTTAACCATTTTGGCTCTTCGAATAATGAAAACAAGGCATTGTTATTGGATTTTAATTAGCGCTTAATTATTTGAAAGAGTAAAAGAAATCCTTGGAAATTTTTTTTTGCCTTGACTGACTATTATAATCAAGTATGCATTGTCACAATGTTGAAAACGTCATTGATTTTAATAGCAAGTCATAGCAACCAAATGTAAGCTTTATGTGACACAATAATACTGAAAACAATACTTGAGTTGTTCCTTCTAGTCAAGACTAGACAGTGTTTCATAAGCAAAAGACAGGCCCAGACGGAATCTGTGGACTCTTTTATTTGCTCTAGTGTATATATTATACTATACGTATAAATTGTATATATTATACAGTACCATTCAAAAGTTTGGGGTCAATCGATTAAAAAAAATTAACTAGATTAATCACACCTTTTCTGTGATTAATCATGAATCGTTTTTATATGTTTTTTAATATATTTTATAATGTAATAATTTCACAGTTATCTCCAAATTAATGTAGAAACAGCATAAAGAAAGTCTATTTAACTCATTTAAGACTGCTCTTATGAGGGTACTCGACCAAACGGACATTATGGCATAATTGTGTGTGTTATTGTTTGTTCAAGCGTGAAAGAGAAATCAATACTGGCGTGCGTCTTTCTGTGCACACGAGTTGTGTGTTTGACATTATAGACAGGACATTCACGTTTGTCTTGTGGCGCTTGAATGGTTTAAAAGCATTTGCGTGAATAAGAGAGTGATCATATAATGTAACGCTAGCTGAAGGATGACAGAAAAAAACGGATGCTGCGTTAATTGCGTTTAAACACTTTAAACTGGAAAAAATGTATCGCATACATTAACAAGTTAATGTTGACAGCACTAATATATATAGTATATATATATTTTATCAGCAAGGATGCATTAAAGTGACAGTACAGACATGTATAATGTTTCTAAAAGATTTCTATTGCAAATAAATGCTGGTCTAATGACCTTATGTTTATCAAAGAATCCTGAAAAAATGTTTGACTGTTTCCACATAAATATTCAGCAGAACTGTTTTCAACATTGATAATAATAATAATAAGTGGTTCCCGAGCACCAAATCAGCATATTGGGATGATTTCTGAAGCATCATGTGACACTGAAGACTGGAGTAATGATGCTGAAAATTTTGCTTTGCCATCACATTTGAAAATATATTAAAATAGAAAATGTATTTTAAATTGCAAAAATATTTTACAATATTACTGTTTTTGTGATCAATTAAAAGCAGCCTCTGAATAAAAACGAATATATATATATATATATATATATATATATATATATATATAAAATAATTTAATCTTAAATACTAATTCCACAGAATGGATTTAAACAGTTAAATGTGTTTTAAAAAAGCTGAGAGTACTACACTCACTTGGCTGCTGAAAGTTTAAGAAGCATGCAAGCAATAAAGATGTACAAATCAAAAGGGTTTGGTGTTCCGATTCGGCTCAGCGGTGGGCCTGGGATTACGTGTGGGCCTGGCAATATAGGTTAGAAATGTTAATGTTAGCTTTCTTTAATATGAAACGGGAGTCTATTTGGTGACTCACCAAACAGAGGGTGGCGGAGCATTTCGTGCTCATGGGGTAACTCACTGAGTAGAGGGTTGGAGATGGCACCAGGTGGGTAAGGGAATCGTGCCAGAGGAGGTCCAGCAGCCAATGGGTCCAGAGGATGAGGCCCTTGTCCTGAAAAACAAAGATGTCAACATTTCCATATACTTAAAAAAAAAAGAAAAAAAAAAAGTAAAGTAATCTAGATCAGGGTTTCTCAACTCCAGTCCAGGGGACCCACCAACCAGAATATTTTAGATGTCTTTAAACATCTGATTCAGCTCATTAGCTTCTTAGTCTGTTGAATAGGGAGACATCTAAAACATTCTGGGAGGAAGGACCCGAGGACTGGAGTTGAGCAATACTGATCTAGATAACTGTGTTTGCCTATATCATTGAAATTCTCACCTTGGTTGAGAGGGTCCTGTTGGTGCAGATGAAGATGGGAGTGTATGTGTGAGTGTTGGTGGTGGTGTGGAGTAACATTAAGCATCTGTAGCCGTGCAACAGGGTCACCAGCTGCAACGGAGGCCATCCTTTCAGCATGGAGCCGTTCAGCAGTCAAGCGCTCGGCGTAGCTGATTTCCGGCCGAGGAGGAGCCGCTAGGTTGCGCTCCATGGCTGGGTGGAACTGGGCAAAGGGATGAGGCCCGGCCACATGAGGAAGAGGCAGGGCACCGTGGCGCGCAAAATGCTCCATAGGATTTGCCGATGGATGAAGTGGGTTCTCTAGCTCCGGCGGCTTCACCTCAAATCCAGGCTTCATTCTTTCACGGATCTCTCTCTCTCGAAGCTCACGAAGCTCTCGCTCTCGAAGGGCTGGGTCTGCTGCGTAGAGCCCCGGCATGTGGTAAGCTAACAGGTGCTCACCTGGCCCAAGATGCATGAAGAAAGGATGGTTGCGGTTGGTGGGCGACATGACGTGGGGGCGTGCGTACTCGCTGAGCGTGCGGAGGGCTGGAGTGTCAGGGCCAAGATATGGAGGAACAGCAGCCACGGTGGTGGGTGGAGGGGGTTCGAATGACGGACGGCCGGGTTGCACATGGGCAGCAAGCAAGTGCTCACTTATGCGGCCATCATGGGATGAGCTTGAAGCCCGCTATGTAAAAAAAAAGGTTTGTTAAAGCAAGATCTTTAAAGCAAGATCTTCAAAATTCAATAGATTTTTTTCAAAAGCAAAAAGAAGTTTTTTATAAGAAAATATATAATTAGAAAATGATCTTTATATTATATATATATAATTAAGCCTATTTTAAGGAACAAGACTGTTTTTTTATTTTCAATTAATATTACATTCACACGTTTATTTATTTATAAATTCTAAATAAATTGACAATCTAATAAAAAGCAGAAACAGAACAAGAAATACTGTCATGATGCATAAATACTTGACAATTGGCATGAGATTTCTTTTGCAGTAAGGAGAATTTGAGGGGAAATTGCCATCATAACAATTTCACAAAGTAAAAGAAATTTAATTAGCTAAAAACTAGGTTTCATTTAAAGCAAAATATAATTTTATTTCTCTCAAAATTCAAAAGTAAATGCTACATATACTTACAGAGGTTTTATCAGAGTCTCTCTCCCTTTCTCGTTCCCGCTCTCTTTCCCTCTCCCTCTCCCGCTCTCTTTCTCTTTCTCTCTCACGTCCCTGTCGAGCGCTCAGCTCTGCTTCTCTTCTGGATCTTTCGGCAGCTTCCTCTCGTTTTTTAGACAGTTTTGAGGAGGCCAAGGGAGTGAAGTACATGTCTGTGCGAGAGCAGGAGTTGTAGCCTCGGTTGAGGTGTTTGATAAATCTGCAATTGACAAACAAAATAGAATAAAATTGCAAAGTAAAGTCTTAGTGAATGGCATTTTGAATTGTTTTCAAAAGGAAACACAAGGTAATGATTTTTACCTTGAACCTTTTTTTTTTACCATTTTATTGAACTTTTTTATTTTGAATTTCAAATAAAATATTTTAGACTACTACTACGTTAGAAAAAAAATTATTTATATTTTCATTTTATAATATTTTAACAAAAATTCTAATCTTGAAAAATGTGATCTCCATACCTTGCTGACTGACTTGCATGGCTGGGTATGTCAACAACTGTCGGTACAGGAGAGGGACTTCTGCGAGGGGGAGGCGGGCTATCACACTCCTCCTCCTCATCAATTGGCTCCTCTTTGATATGAGCTTGTCCAACAGGAGTGCTTGCTGAGGAAGACGTGGAGGGCTGATGGGCAGGGCCAGGGATGGGAGAAGTGTAAAGAGGGAATGAAGCAGTGGACTCAGGAGCAGGACGATTTTGAGGGAGCGATGGAATAGAACTAGCACCACTGGTGTGACCTTTGACCTGCTGGCTCTGCGACTGAGTCAGAACGGAAGGCTGAGCAGGGTGATTTTGTGGAATTATATGAAGTGGAGGAGGCTGGGAACAAGGCAAGTGCTGTGAGGGCAAGGAAGCAAGAGGTTTTAGAGCAGGAGGGGGAGGCAAATTTGGGTGGATCTGCAGGAAATGGGGTGGAGGTGCAGAAAGGTGAGGAGGCTGCTTGTGAGAAGGTGGAATTGGAGTGGTCGGAGGGGGCTTGATTTGGGTTGCTGCTGTAGGAGGAAGAGGAGGAAGAGGACTTTCTTTTTGAAGGTGCAGCAGTCTGGAAGCAAACCCTGGTGGCTGATTCACCCCAGATGAAGGATTCTGCAGCTGACCTGGATTGTGCTGATAATGGGGCGGCACAGGGAATGACTGCCCCTGCCCTGGACACTGCACCTGCTGAGACGAGGAGTTTGCATAAGAGTTCGGTGCTTCGGGTCCCCTGGGACCACTTCTGAAAGTGGTTGGAGATGGAACCTCCTGAGAAACCTCTATGGATGTTGCCTTCGAGGTGGCGGTAGAAGCTCCAGGTGAAGGTGCGGATGAGGATGCAAGCAGAGAGGGCTGAGGAGATGATGGCGTTTCAGATGGGACAAGTGTTGTAGGGGTCGCAGCAGGCTGCTGGGGCTGGGTTTCTGGGTTTGCACCAGGTGCAGGGGGTGGCGCTGGGGAGTCAGAGTCACTTTCGTTGGCTTGCAGGGGACTGGCCAGGCTGGGGGAGGAACTGCGGTTGTCCTGATCAATGTCTTTAGTGTCGCTGCTGCCATCGTCATTGGCACTGCGGCTATCGGAGCTCTCGCCTTCACCCTCACCTTCTGATGGAGAATCGGGACCATCCTGGTTAGAGAAACACTGCTTATAATCACTGCAATTATTTATATATACATATATAAATTATTTATATATATATATATATATAAAATAGGGGTGTTAACGGTTCTCGATAATAAAATCAAACTGATCTCCACCCACAGCTTGGCACGCACTCACACCAAGGTTAATCTTGTTTGGTGAATAAAACAACATGTAAAACAGACAGACAGAATTCCACTAATGTCTACTTAAACATTTAAGCGAAAGAGAACTGCGCACACATGCTGTGTGAGAAGTTTTGTGTGTGTACACATCCAAACCGAACCGTGAGGACTGAAGAGTAAGTTGAACCGTTTCACCCCTAATATATATATACACAGTATATATTATTAGTGTCTTTTCTGAAAAGGCCAATTCACACTGCACCGACTGACGCCGACCAGCGCAGACAAGCGCCGATTCAGCATGTTCAATAGGTGAAAACAGCTCCAACAGACGCCAACAGACACTGACAGGGGTAACACACTGATCCGACAAAACCTGACGAAGTGTCTGTTGCCATCTGTCGGCCTTAGGTGAGCATTAGATGATGGCAATCTAAATTTAAAAAATGTTGGAAATTAACAAGCACAGTTAATATCATTTATATATTTTAAAAAAAGAGTTGCTGATAACCAATATAGTAATGATAACAATATAGTACTGATAACTAAAAATCACACGTTTTATCGGTTGATTTTTAGTTTTTAAAACTTAAGACTTAATACTCCGATTTTTTTGAAGAAAACAACCCTGAAGAAGTAGAATGAGAAACTGTTTCCCTTACCTGATTCTTAGGCCGTTTCATGTTTTTCCTTTCCGGTTCATCAACATCTGGAGCAGCTGAATCTCTTGGCCTTTTAACACCCTTAACTATAGACGCCTCAGTCGCCTCTACTTTCATCTTCTAAAGTTTAATAATAAAGACATTTAAAAATGAACAGGTTAAACAACACAAAAGGATAAATACACACTTTTCAAACTCTAAATCAAGCAGGCTCATTTTTACCACTACCTTGTTGGTCTTCCCAGCCACCCCATTCTTGATTTCAGAACTGGAAGCCCTGGTTGCCATAGCAGTGGAACTGGCTCTGGGAGACTGTCCATTAGATCGCACATCCTCGACGGTGGGAGATATGGCCCTGTCGGGACTTCCGGTTGGTCTGTTGCGCCCACTTCGAAGAGATGACATCTACATGTAGAGACATAAGACTAAATTAAACAGACTACTCTTTACACATTTCCCTGGGCACTAAAGCGCAAGTTAGACCTACATGTGGTGGAACCCGGCTCCGACGGGTCTTCATCCCATGTCTGACACCCTCTTCCTCTTCTTTGACCGGTTTGAAGAGATAGGGCGGATCTGCGGGTTTGGGAACAGGTGGCAGGCGCCGATGCTTGCTGAAGTGAGAGTGGCAACTAGAGCACAGCAAGACATTGTCTCTCCCTCCATGATGCCAGTCTTTGGAGTCTGAAAGAAACATATTCATTTTATGTTGTGTGAGTTATTTCAAAAGAAAAGTCTCAAACAAATAAAAAGCATTTACAGAAGTCACAAGAGCTGCAAACCATTTTACTTCCATAATGTGTAAAGTATACTTCCGTTCAAAAGTTTAGGGTCGGTAAAATTGTATAATTTTTAAAAAGAAGTCTCATATGCTCTACAAGGATGCATTTATTTGCTAAAAAATACAGTATAAAAGTATTGTGAAATACTATTACAATTTAAAATAATGGTTTTCTATTTCAATATACTTTAAAATGTGATTTATTCCTGTGATGGCAAAGCTGAAATGTCAGCATAATTACTCCAGTCACATGACAAATCATTCTAATATACTTATTTTTCTTGCTCGAGAAACATTTATTACTAATATCAATGTTGAAAAGAGTTGCGCTGCTCTATATTTTTTTGAAAACTGTTTTTCTGAATTCTTTAATGAATAAAAAAAACTGAATAAAACCAAATTTTTAACCAGAATAAAAATGTAGGACTAGACTTATATCCATTGGGAATAGATTGGATTGTGAAAAGTGGAACGAACATTCACAACAAGACCAGGAACATACATTATGCAAATAGAGTCCATTCTTATCTCATGTTAAGAAGAATTGCAAACCTAAGCAGTTTGAATCCAATGTAGGGTGACTAACCAAGTTCAGCAGAAAGTCACTTTCAGAACAGCATGATGGTTGATAGATATATGCATATGGTCAACAAATTATGAAATGCAGTATTATACAGCATTTTCAATATAGAGGCCTGAAGAAGGATGAAAAACTTACTAGTGGATAGACAGTGACTGCAGGCTTGTGCTTTGCTGCCCTGCTCACTATCCTCACTGTCCAGATCATCTTCACTGGCTGAACTGAGCTCCACTACAGACAGAGAGAAAATACAAAAATTATTAACAGTTCTTCTTGTGGAGTTACTTCCTTTAAACTATAACTGTATCAGACTTGCTATCATGTTTGGGCAGCCTGCAAAAAAATGAACAGACGTATGGCGCATAGTGCTGCACTTACTGGAGGAAGTGCGAGATGTTGCATTGGCTGCAGCTGTCGAGTTGCGAGTTTTCACTTTGCGGGACACCGGCTGTCTTCTCTGCTGCCGATGAGGTCGTGATGCCACAGCTTCAGGAGTTTTCTTCCAGTAGTAGTAGAATGTGATCAGCTCACCCTGAGAGGACCAATGTGTTGTAAAAAAAAAAAAAACTTCAATTTGACAAACACACATTTATAGTCAGATTTGAAATGGCAGGTTTCCATACCGTTTTCTTACTAGGCAGTAGCTCCTTACGGATCTTAAAGAAGTTTTTGCCATACTGTCTAAGACCTTTGATAAACCGTTTCTGTAATTGAACATATTAACAGATTGATGATTCTTAAGTAATACATTTCGAAAAGTTCTAGTCTCACATTTCTACATTCCACTATAACCAGGTTGTATCAGTGAAAACTGAGATGGTACAAGTAAAAAAAAAACAAATCCAAACCCAAACACTTTCTCACCACTTCATCTTCTGACCAGCATTTCTCAATGAGTTTTGGAACTGGTTTCTTCACCAGACACTGCAGGGCTTTGGCTGCATCGTATTGGCTTTCGTGAAGCTGTGAGCAAAACAAAGATTTATTATTTGCAGTTTTTACTGTCTCTGGCTTTAATCCAAATTACATCAAAGGTCAAAGCATGAAACGCACTGATGACGTGTGATGTCTGCCCGAGCAGGGTGCGCGGAGGTATGGAAATACATAAAACATTTTTGTTATGCTGGTTGAAAGTCTCTTCAAATCCTGACAGCAATCACTATGTTAAGTGTTCTAAATGTATTTATATGTATCGTCTGTGGAAGGCGTATGACCATAAAATGTTCATCCAATCATTGCATTCGGTCCAAATTCAATAATACGATGTCCTATCTGCCTGTCAACATATGTATTTCTATACCTCCATGCACCTGCTCATGCAGACATCACACGTCATCAGTGTGATGTCATCGTCATGTCAACATTTATGCTATGCAGAGTTAGACAGACATCAGTCACCGAGCACCGCAACTTAAACAGCATCCACATTTTACAGTTCCTCCTGAAGCAAAACAACGAGCATACGCTCATTTCACGCTATAACTACCGTAATTTGTAAGAGATAGAAACCCGTGACGTTATACTCAGAGAGGTTTGTGACTCAAATGTATGCGTTTCAATGGAAACACAATCAACGCCGAAATGAATCTGCAGCAGTCAGGTGGAACAAGTCAGTGTTCTTTAAGCTGTTCTTGTTCATTATTATTCTATTGTTAGACATGAGGTAGTTTGACGTCATCTCTCGTGACACTTTTGTTTGCAGCTGTATGCGTTCAAACGTTTTGGAGGAGGCGTGGCTTGAGACACTCTGAAGAGAGGGCGGGATCTCATGCTTTCAAAGCTAGCTCGCTATTGCTAGCCTCTCTGAATTGCCAATTAAATTGAATTAAATCATTTAAGTTTCTTTTTTGACAAAACATAGCACAAACACATAAAAATTACAAGCACTGACCGTATTTAAAGCATTCAATGTGGTATCATCCCGTGAAGCTGCAAGACAACCATCCTCCGTCGAACCTCCATCACACATCCCTGCAAAAGCTGCCATGCTCCTGTTTATACAGAGAACACAAAACAAAAATTCAGAAGGACATGTTGTTGAATCACACACCATCCACAGACACCTCAGTTCCCTTTTTTAGATATAACCTCAAGCGATTATGAAGAAAAATGTAAACGGTGAATAATAACTGGCATCCAGAAAGCAGCCATTACCTGGCAGCCCGTAGGTACATGAGAAGGTCACAGTCATTGACCCCAGGTGCCCACACTAGCTCCTCAATTTCTGTGACAGACTCTGTTCCATGTCCAGGTGGCGTCTGTAATTCAGGTAGCTTGGCCTGCATACATTTGATCATGACAACATAACGGTCAAAAAGAAAAAGTTAACAGAGTTTATTTAAGGACTTTTAAAGGTGCACTCAGTAAATAGGTTTTCTTAACATTTAGCTAGTTATGATTTGTCCCAAAAGTACCAGTGGTTTTGGACTTTCAGCGTGGATACATTTGTTTACTAGCAACTTCCGGACTGTAGACATGCTGGTATAGCATTTCTTTATTTGTAAAACTTTTTTAAGGATCAAATATTACTTAGTGCACCTTTAAAACACTGCATGCCATAGATCTGCAAACGCTTTTGGAATCTCTTTAAACTCATTTTACCTGATGACTTGGTCCCACTCGAATCTCTCCTTGCGTGCTGTTCAGCTGCCTAGAAGACAAAATTTTAGTTAGTTGAAATATGGATGTTCAAGTAGGCTATACATCAATTAATACATTAAAATTTCAAGGAAGCAAAAACTTACAGCCAATATTTCACATGTAAATAGTAAAAAATGATGCCTGTACTTAAAAATACTTGAATACAAACACCATATTTATCAGAAACATACTATTGGAAAAACTTTGGTTCCTGTCATGAGAGCTTCATGTCACTATTTTCCACCCTTTTAAATCGCCTCCTTTCAGTGTTAATCATAAAATGTGATTTGCCTATCAGCAGTCGCGATGATCAATCCAAATCCCGCCTACAGAGCATAACCAGCCAATCAGCGTCCGACTGCTCCGTTCCCTCCAAAGGTTATATAAACGGTGGCTTGGACGTCCAGGTCATATTTTTACACATAAATCATTACATTGCTGCGTGCAGAGTCTATTACAGTGCAAATCAAAATCAGTGTGTTGAACTCAAGAGTGTGCTATGCACAAATACTGTCCGTTCGCTGTCCGCGAAAGAAAATAGTATGCTAAAAATCACAATTTGCTGAACAAATATTTGCAGAACAGGCAAACAAAACTAATTTGTAAGAGCAGCACCGCGTTCAACATGCATTACATACTTAGCAGTCAGCAACAGTACCTACACAACATCTGCCCCATTTTATCTTGTCAGGCTCCTAGCTGGCCTTTGCGTGTGTGTGTGTGTGTGTGTGTGTGTGTGTGTGTGGCCGAGCGAGACGAGCTGTCAAGTTCAAAATCGTCTCGATTTGCACTAGAATGCAAAAGTATTCCGCGTTTCGCAAAAAGCACTGGCGCGCGCAAAAGCATTAATCTGTAATAAGAAGAAGCAACAAACCTTCGCGGACTGAACAAGTCGTCCATGGCAGGGGCCGTTTCGCTAGTGTTTACAGTTTGTTTGCAGCGTCGGCGGCGGCTCAAAACTATGCTTTCCTCTATTTCATACTACTCAAAATGGAGGCTACGCTGAGTATTTTTTCATCAGCGCAGGCGATGACCTCAGTGTTCACGCACAGCCTACTGAGATCCACTTCAACAAGCATAACTGAGCATGTGCCGCTGCAGCCAGCGCTAATGGGATCATCTCCGTGTCCGCTGTCTATGGAGATCAGCTTCAGGGAGATGTCTTTGGCCATCCTCCCGTGTCAATATTCACACACGAATATAGATGTCCCAATAAATTTAACCACCCTAGACTTGTTGGCATTCCTTTGCATATTTGATGAAAGGCACCATGCATGAAGAGTGAAGAAGAATAACAATATCTTGTTATAGTCAGTGTGTGGGTTGTAACTGCCACTGTAGAGACGGTGGATTTATTTCGGCTCAGTGGAATTAGGCTAGACGCTTTAAATGCAGCCCTGTCTGCTTATGGCTTCATACATTTCTACCGTTACTGTTAACAAGAAGCCGCCGGTGAATCTGATTGAAACTAATTTTTCAGTAGTGCATTTCTATTCAATAAAAAATAAAATAAAACCATACATATAATACTAACCTTATTATTAATCTTAAAAAGTAATGTTAGTATTGTTATTATTATTATTATTATTATTAAAGTAGTGGAATTCTATACCACAATCAAGAAATGGCTTCTTCTTAATCAACAATGTCAACATTGATGTTAAATATATATATATATATATATATATATATATATATATATATATATATATATATATATATATATTAAAGGAATCATTATTACCTCAATGTTTTTCCCCCGAAAGTATTATTTTACCACTGGTATTGTAACCTTTTTAAATAACCTAAATCATTTGGATAAGTGATATGGAACTATAATGCTGTCATTATCTGCAATTACTCGCAAAAGCAGTTATAGAAAACTAACTATCAACCATTTAGAATCAAGCATTCAAAGTGTATAAAAAAATAGCAGATTATCAGAATCAAAAAATTGGTATTTCCGTCAAAAACAGGTAAACGGGAGACTATTTGAATTAAAAAATACTACACAAAAGCCTCTCATTAGTTGAGGTAATGTTTTTATTTGAACAGTATCCACTATTACAAGCACAGACCTCAGAAATCTGCTATGCAGCATTTACAGGAAAATACAGTTTGCTCTTTCTTTGCAGTACAATCATCATCATCACCACACTGCATGTACATTGTTACAGTGCATGTAACACTCATCCAAATAGACACATCACAAAGTTTATGATGCTTTGTTTCTGTATCCTTGATTATATGGTCCCAGTAACAACCAAATCATCATTCATAACACATACTGCTTTCTGTTGGTATTGCATCTTGAACTGAACTATTAGTAGGAGGTTAATTAGTTCTAACTGTACTGTGCTGGTCTCAGTTCAGTGGATTTCTGAAGTTCTTCCCAGCAAAGTGAGCTTTATCCCCCAAGTCCTCTTCAATTCTGTGCATGAAGAAAGAAAGCAGGTAAGCAAATGACATAAAATACATATGCTTATTAATGCCCATACGTTTAGAACAAATAATATTTTTATTATCATAAACACAACTATAAGCTTACCTAAGGATCTGGTTGTATTTGGCCAGACGCTCTGAACGGCACGGGGCTCCTGTTTTAATCTGAATAAGAAGAGGAAAATAAAACAGTCAAGTACACTTGAGTATGTAACTGTAAACTGAAGTTCCTCATTTTTATGATAAATCTAAAATAAGATTAGAGCACACTGTACCTGTCCAGTGCAAAGTCCCACAACCAGGTCAGCAATGAACGTGTCCTCTGTTTCCCCAGAGCGATGGCTCACCATCACACCCCAGCCACTGGACTGAGCCATCTTACATCTGTGGGGTGGGATGTTACAAATTGAAAAGATCACCAAATACCTCTTTTAGGAGTTAAAAAAATTAGAGAATAGAATTCTACACTGAAAATCTGGAAAATATTTTGACAAAAGTGAAGATTTTTGTTTTGTTTTGAACTCACGCCTGCAGGGATTCGGTAACACTCCCGATCTGGTTGACTTTGAGCAACAGGCAGTTGCAGGCCTTGTTCTCCACTGCATTAGCAATGCGTTTTGGGTTGGTGACAGTGAGATCATCTCCCACCACCTGGATGTCCGTGCTGTTGGTGAAATTGGTCCAGGCCTCCCAATCATCTTGATCAAAGGGGTCTTCAATAGAGACCACTGGAGTAGTAATAAAAACAGATTCACATCTCAGTGTCTGAGCTCAAAGAAAAAAATGTGTAATGTAATTAGTGCAAGAGAGCAAAGAACTGATGGATACCTGGATAATCCTGAATGAAACTTTTGTAAAGGTCAGAAAGCTCATCAGGGCTGATGTATCGATCGGGGTCATCGGGAGACTTGAAGTCCAAGTCGTACTTTCCGTCACGATAGAATTCAGATGCTGCCACGTCCATGCCAATCACAATCTCATCTGTGTATCCAGCTTTACTGATGGCACTCTTCAGCAACTCTAGGGCTATTATTAACATCCGGAAAACAATATATAAGTTATAAGTTGTACAGTCTCATCCAGTATGATTGTTTTTTTCAAATACCTTCTTGGTTCTCCAGGATATTTGGTGCGAATCCTCCCTCATCCCCAACATTGGTGGCATCCTGGCCATATTTCTGCTTAATAACATTCTTCAGATTATGGTACACCTCTGCACCAATCCGCATGGCTTCCTTAAAGCTACTGGCCCCGACCGGCAGAATCATGAATTCCTGCATGGCCAACTTATTGCCAGCATGTGAGCCACCATTGATCACATTAAAGGCCTTTAGGAAAACAATGAAAATTGCAAAACTCAATGGGAGCATAACATTTTCTTCCATAATTTGCATTCGTACGTTTATTAAGATTTAAACAGAAAAAAAATCCACATTTCCAGTGGCATTACACTTTTTGCTCATTGTACAACTTCAAATACAAGAGCGTTCTGTTTCTCACCGGCACAGGAAGGATGACCTCGGGGTTTCCAGCAAGGTCAGCAATGTGACGATACAGAGGAACACCTTTCTCCGCAGCTCCAGCCTTACACACAGCCAGGGAAACACCCAGGATGGCATTGGCACCAAATTTAGCTGATGTTCGAAACAGTTGCAAAAGTTAAAGGATTATGACTAGACACATTACATAATATTTGCTTTTGTTCACAAGTTTATACACACAAAAAACTGGGAAACTATCTTTTGTGTTTGTATTTGTATTTTTGTGACAATGTTTTAAAGTGTACACTACCGTTTAAAAGTTTGTGGTAATATTTTCTAAATGTTTTTATAAGAAGTCTCCTAAACTCAACAAGTATGCATTTATTTGATTAAAAATACAGTAAAAACAGAAATATTATGAAAAATAAAAAACAGAAAGTTTAGAAGAACAACATTTATTTGAAATAAATGTAACATTATAAATGTATTTACTTTTTATCAGTTTAATTCACCCTTTACTGAATATAAGTATTAATTTCTTTTAAAAAAAATATTACTGGCCATACATTTTTGAATGGTAGTGTGAACACATTACAGGCCAGGGGTGTAAGAAGAAAAAAAAAACACAGGAAAAACATCTGAATGTCTTGGGCCACTTCTGATATCAAAAATCGTTCATGAGGATGGAGCTTGTCTAAATTTTAAATATCCTCTTAAAAAGCTCTTTGAGCTCAAACACAATCTAATTAAAGATCTATGCCACATAGGTAATGAACAACTGTTAATGAGTAAAGAGGTATATATTATGATTTACACTTGTTATCAGTTCCATCCAGTTCCAGCATGAACTGGTCAATCTTTTCTTGCTCAACTACAGGAATTCCCTATGTGACAGAGAGAAAGACAGCAAAACAAATCATTACCAACCCATGTACAGTTACTACACTGGTTTAATTACAAAAGTCTAAAATTCTCACCTGGCTGATCAGGGCAGGTGCAATAGTTTGGTTCACATGCTCAACAGCCTTTAATACACCTACATTGCACAGAAAAAGATGGCATATATGAGCAAAATAGGTATAAGCACAAGTTATTGTGGATTGAATGGTGCTGCAGTTAGACACATGCACAACGTAACATTCCCTTGCTTAGTTTAGCTGCTACCACAAAGCTACAGATCAGATATTTGTCAAATTTTGTATGATTTGTAATGTCAGCCAATCGAGTGCCATAAACAATCTTTATTTATCCCATGCAAATATTGCACACTAAATAATTTAAACAATTATTTTTAAAGTACCACAGTAAAGATCCTTACATTATTCACTGATGCGAATCACATGCACAAGCATTTTTAGAAATGTACATCATTTTTTCATAGTACATAATTCAGGTCACACAATTTGACACTGGGTAGAATGTGTCATGCAAATTCAGACCCATCAAACCAAAAAAAAAAAAAAAGTTTTCTCACTTGTTAACTTGGTATCTGTTAACACAAGGCTGAACCAATGATTCAGTACATTTCATAAGTTTTCCTTCCCAATGTAATAGAGAAAAACATAGCTGGTAAAAGAGAGACAGTCCATTGTGTTCAGTAAATAAATCTAGCTTGACAAGTCTTGGTTATTTCCAAAACAATGTACAATAAATGATGTAAGACCAGATTCATTCATTGAAAAAGCAGAAAAAGCGTTTAAACAATAGTAAATGTGTTTCTGTTTAAAAAGACATGAAAAAGCAGAGTTACCTTTTCCCAGGTAACGTGACTTATCGTTGTCTCTTAGTTCCAATGCTTCATAGATTCCTGTAGATGCTCCACTAGGGACAGCAGCTCGAAACAAACCTGTTTTAAAACCAGCAGATTAGTATTTGTTCTGCTTGTAATGCTTGTATACTGAACCATCTTCATTTTGAGTAATCTCGATTTGGAAAGAAATGTCAAGGAGAATCACCTCTATCTGTGTAGAGGTCCACCTCTACAGTGGGGTTGCCCCTAGAATCAAAAATCTCACGAGCATGTATCTTCAGGATAGACATGTTCCTAAAAGTAAATTATAAAGAAAGAGCAATCAGCTTCTGCTGAAATAGTTATCTCTGCAAATCTAACCACATATCTAAAGGAGATTTCAAGGAAACCTGAGAACACCATCTGCTTTACAGTAATACTGCTGACCCACAGGGTCACTTTGTCAAATCCTCTTGTCTGCTATTAGGCAGACAAGAGGGAGATTTAATTTTAGAAGGGAAATAGCGGCATAAATGAATCCACATCTCTTTCAAGCAAATACATGATTAATAGTTTTCAAAATGCACATTGTGTATTGAAGATTGTGCTATCTTTTGGGGCATCATGGGAAGCTCAGGTCTAATTGGATTATCAGCTGTCACTCTCTGGGCAGTATGCTGTCAAGAGAGAACAAAAAGCTTACTCAACGGGTCTAGACGTTTTTGCATACAATACATATAATAAAAACATCAACAATTTTATTTGTTAAACTTTACAGTATTATGAGCGACAATGCCCAGTCTCAAACTCAGTCATTTCCTTCCTGGAATCAGATTTTCCCCCGTATAGTTTGTTCTGCAAATATTTAATCTAATTACAGTGTGTGAATACGAGTGGGCGTGATGGAAAGCATGACTCATCGCGGTCCTCAATGTCGAGTGCTTATTCATGGTGACTCTCATCCAGCACTTCATTAGTCACACTCGAGACTGAGAACTTAATGCTTTCTGTCTAAATATCTAATTATTAGCGTACTACGATTGCCTAAGGCTAAGACTAAACCAAAAGCCTGGTTACAATATAAAACATATGTAAAGTTAGCTAGCGGAGAGTTTAAAGTTTATAATACAACGCTCCTTACCTCGGCGAAACGGTATAATTAAAGCGCAAGATGAAGAAATCAAGCTCTCATTCAAGTTCACACTCAACGCTGGCGGCTCTGGTTAGGAGAGTGTTATCAGTGTGTGGTCACTCTCAGAGAAAACTCACCCATAGGGGGAGATTATAGAAAAGATTACTTGGCTAGAATGGCTGCGAGTCTTGAAACAAGTGTTGTGGGAATGGGCGGGGCTTTGCGGTCAGGATGTTGCCGCTGTTTGGTCGGATTTAACATAATTTAAAAAAATAAACTCCTATATTTCAACACTTTACTGTGTATTTGCATTTAAATGATTATTAAGATGTACATCTGAATTATACAGGTGTAAATTATTGTCCAGACCTCTACCGAAGGGGACAGAGTTATCACGTGTTAGTTGTTACTTTTCTCAACACTGCCTAGGCTTGACCAATCACAGGTGTTTGATGATTTTATTTAATAGCAATTGTTTTGAATTATTTTCATCTGTACGGGAGATGAACATACCTGGAATTAATAGATTTACTATTGTTTAAACGATTATGCTTTTTAAGTGTACAAATGTCTAAAATAAGTTACAAAAATGTATCTGAGATTTGAATGCAGCTCAATGGAGAATTCGGCTTTCTGAGCAGTCATGCGCTCCCTTGAGGAAGACACTTTTGTCTCAGAGAAAACGGTGATTACCTCGCCACATTTTCCACTGGAGAAAGTTGTAGTCCGTTCTCCAGCAATTTAATAGGCTATACGGTGTCTTTTTTATAAATTGTTATCTGCCATGGTTTGATAAAGTTCCACTATTTAAATTAGGCCTATTTAAAATCTAAGAATCTAAAATGTTCGACGTCATCAAAATCGTGCTTAAACTTGAAGCCCTGGTCTTAAAATCGTGTAGAAACAATATAGAAGCAATACATTTGGTCACTGTCCTTATGACACGCATATCACAGCAAGAGAATGATGCAGTCATATGATGCCAATCTGTTAAATGATATCTCAAATTCATAATCTTAGATTGTTAAATCATTAACCTTCTACTAGCCTATATTCTTGTCTGGAGGGAAAATGTGATGCAATGAACAAGAGGCACAATAGAGTGTTTGTGTGCTGGAGAATCCTGGCAACTCATTCCCTTGGGCCAGTAATCCCTCAGGTCATTGCCCCCACCCTCCCTCCTCCATTCCCTCTTTTTATCCCTCTCTCTTACAGTGTCACATACAGGTGTATTTCCCCTCATGTACATTTTGTTTCGTGGAAATGGTTGATGTTTTGTCGCTTCTTTCAGGTACATGGTTTCTCAGGAGGCCTTGCTGACAGCAGCTGATCCCCATATTCCTCCATCCTCTCGTCTCACAAATCAGACCTCAGGGATCTCATTAGCAATCCACAGGCTTTTGGATATAGTGAGGCATTGACCTGTTGCCTGGGTTACAGCACAGTCCCCGTGTCCCAGCATTAACTCCTGCTAGGGTTGGAACTCTCATATCCTTTGCTCATTGCACAAACTAAAAAAAAAATGACAATCTGCAATAAATCTAAATTTTTATTGACTGCACAAGTATAATTATTTTATGTGTATATCAAATATCAAAAACCACAGAGCCCCATAACTATTTTTTATTGACACAAGCAGTTTAAATAAGTATTTTTTACTGTATGTGCATCATATTTGTGCATGATATTTATGCATAAATCTACTGACCTTAATTTTACCTGCCCTTTTTGAAGCGGCCCATGCAAGTAATGCTACTGAGCCCTGACACCTGTTTAGTAGGCCTGTCATGAACAAACAAAGAGCACAAGCACTTCATCGTCCCAATGAAACCTTACAGCTCTAAATGCCAAAATCAGGATTTAATAGTGCTTTTAGAGTGTGGAACTTTGTTTTTATTGTCGACAGAGTATGTTTTCTACCTGCAAAATCAAGTTCCAGATTTAAGTTCAAAGTTGAAATGTTAGGTGGACAGAATTCTCACTTTTTCTTAAAATTTTTAAGTTATAAAATCTCACATTGCAAGTTGGACTGATTAGCCAGTCTGAATTTAATAGTCAATTTGTCCGAATGACTTGAATTCATACACAAGTCTTTTTAATAATGTTAAACATTGATAATTATTATGCATAATTTGACATTGATAATCTTGCATAATCATTTATCTATCATGTTTTCTGATTATATGTTTGAATTAGAAATGATTTCGGTTTAATATTCTTTATTTTATTTTTTGCAGTCAAATGAATAAAAAATGCTGAGTAAGAATGTAGTAAAAAAGTATATCAGTTGGGCCTGGTTTCAGTTTGTCTATTCAACACCTCAATGGAGTTTATTATCATTGTAAACAATTCAAATGATCATAGGAGCTCACAAAGGACACATTTACTGATTGCCGATCGTCTTTTTTAACTTGAATCTAATGATGAACATTAGAAAGGAGAGTAAACCTTAAAAATAAAGAGGAGAGGAGGCTTATTCTTGTCTGTTGCCCTAAAGTCTGACCCAGAACAAGAGACACAGAGGATGGGGCGTGGTCTTTTTGAAGGTTAAAAGCTTGTCTCATTTGTGTACTCAGAAACCCAGAGGCACTTCCACACTAAACTAACCAATCACAGAGCACAAGACACACCTGCTCATAGAAGAAGAGCAGGGATTGGTCACAGCGTAAAAATGACACCTGGGCAGGGCTCCAAGGTGTACCTGAAAACCTAGATGTTTTGTAGGAACGGTTTCTTCGCTTCAGGAGCTTTAGGAGATTGTGTTTCTTCTCGTGCTTGAGACTCCATTAGTAATGTCCTTGTGTCTTCTTCAGCTGTCCTCAGACCGGTTCGAGAGGTTTGGCCTAACGTGGAAGAAGCAATCATACCTTTATCAAGAGGAAGGAGCAGGAAGTGATCTTCCTCAGCTAAAGCGACGCTGCGACACAATGGCATCTCTTGTGCATGACTCCATACTGAATGACCGCAACAGGAATTGATAGGGTAACTAATAGTTATTTTTCATTTTTTTAATACATTTAACAATTTGACCAAATAATTCATTAATTGCAAATAAATGTCTTTGTATGTCAGTTATTATATACAACAGAAATGCTAATAGTAAACTATAAAAAAGACAATAAGATGGAATTAAACAGACATAGTATTTTAGATTTTTTATACCTACTTACAAAAATCCTTTCTTACTTAAATATAAAAATGAAGTATGCATTTTAGTATGATATGTCAATCATTGAAATTTGTTAAACATGAGTGCCCAGCATGTTAACTTTCACTTCCGTAATGTGTCAAACCTGTTTGATCAGTTTAAAACAAAGGGGTATGAAGTACAATATGTAAAGCATTTAAACAAATTACGTGAAATAATACAACATAAGTTTTTAATGTTATAATTTAATGGTGTTTAACATTAAATAGACTTGTTGCATCTGAGAAACTGTTTAAAGACTTTTAAAATGGATTGACAGATGGACACATGCTCTCATACGCATTATTTTTCCTCTCTTAATAAAAAGGTATTGGAAACAAGAGAAAGGAAACAACAATAGAGCCAAACCATAAAGACTTGCTTAGCTTGGTTTCAGTAGTAAGTGAGTTATCTCGAATCTTATCTAATCTAACGTACAGGTGAGGGGTCAGTCAGGTGCACATCAGGTTTAGGTGACAAAGATCAGCCATTTTGATTAGCATGACTAAGCGCTTTCCTTACCACCGACGTTGTGTGGTTGTAATGGGATTTGGAGGCTGTAGACACAATTTTGTTTTGATGAAGGTGCGACCAATTAGTTGAACTCTCTCAGGTCAAGGGGACGTCTCAAAGGTCATAGTTGCCAAGCAGACAGGGCAGGGCATACACTTAAGAAGAAAACTACTGGGGTTTCAATGTTTTTTGTTCTTTCTAATAATAGTTGTCAAAAAAAGGAGTAGGAGTTACAGCAAAGTGGTTAAAAATGACCATGAACAGCTTACATCAAAAGGATTGGGGTCTGATGCAAAATAAGCGCTGTTCAAAGGAAGTATATGAAGCTATTAAAAACGAATGACGGGCCAGTCAGGAAAATAGATAATCATTAACAAACACCTTACAACGTCTTGCGAAAGTACACTAACTATCATTTTATAGTGACACACAATATGAAAAGCATAGAGTCTTCCCTCTTGTTTTAGATGGGGTGAAAAAGTAAAAAAAAAAATCAATGGCAAATCATTTGAGATCTACATTGGATGCCCATCTCCATCTTACAAGGCAGTTTTGGATGTTATATCTTCTCTAATACTGCCTGGTAATGATGCAGATGGTCCTCTACGGGCATCGTTAAAAATGCTTTGCATCTGGGTGTGGACACGCACACTATATGCAAATATGCGCACATACAAATACACAAAGGAAAATATGCCATGGTGAAATGTGTGTTCTTTGGCTATAGTTGCTTTGAATGCTATGATGCTGAAGAAGTTCATCTATTGTCTCTAGGGTACATCTTACCCGGCAGTGCTTGGCTGTTCACTGATGTTCTAACACTGTCTGGTAACGATGCACTCTGGAGGCTCAGTCACCATGGAGTTAATAGAATATGAACATAAAAGTGAAGTAGCTATATGAAATAAAGCATTTTGGCATGTGAATATTAAATCAAATCAGTGATTTAAAATGGAAAAACCAGTTGAGACGGCTTGATTAAAATAAAAGGAGTGTGATTAAATAACAGAGAAGAACATAGACCATCAGTAAAGGTCTGAACCGCACCCTGTTTCATCCAAATGCCTGCATGAATGTCACGAAAGTAATTCCTCCATATCACACACCCTCTAATGTGTGTCAACGATCAGTTCATCCTCCTTTTCATGTGTCTTATTGTGTGCATGACACCTGAGATCTGTGTGACAAACACTAATTGAACTGCACCTACACAGTTCACCTTTCCTGTTTGCTGTACAGAACGGGAAGTGATGATTTGAAACCCATTTTACTTCTTTTCCAGGTCATTATATAATGGAAAATGCAAAGAAAAAGCTAACTTTTTAAGCAATTTAATGATAAAAGAAACATGTAAATAACACACAGACTCGAATGAAAAATATTGTTTCTTATGGAAAATATATCTATGACCCAATAAAATATTTTGGTTGTATTCTGAATGTGAATAAGGCATAATGTCACTTTCTGTTCATTAAGTAATTGCAGGACTGTGTTGTTCACCCA